AAAAAAAAAACAATTTAAATTAAATTTTGCACTGCGTGCGGGACCAAAACATGGCAGAGGAGTATCCAGGCGAAGTGAACGACAAGGACAAAATTTTGAATGGAGATATCGACAGTAACAGAGTCCCTCTACATGAAGTACGCGAGAAAAAGAAAAAGAGAAAAGTGAGGAGGTCAAGATCTAATGAGCATTTACCGTCTTCAGATGCGGAAACTGGCGCATACTTGAGGCAAGTTTCAAGCTATAGCCATGGCGAGCAACCTCGACATGTTCAGCTGCCTCTTGAGCCTATGGGGAGTCGTGAAAAACTTATTCACATTCACGAAGAGCTGAGTAATACACATCCTCCTCCACGCCCAGAAATATTGCGTGACGAAAAAGATCTGAGAAAACTCGCCTTACATTTAGCGATAAGTAAATCGAGCGAAGGGAAAAATAACAGATTTCTACATCACGATTACGTGTTAGTTCATAGAACAGGCGACAACAGAAATCTGCACGAGAAACTGAGAAAGAAATACGAGTCCGGGCTTCATGCACAAGGATTCAGAGTGGATCGCAAGTACACAGCGGAAAATACGTTTGTTGTTCTGCATTGTTCATTTGAAAGACTTTGTGAAGAAGCTGAACATGTGTCTTTGGAAATGCCTCTAGCTGGGGTAAGATAATTTGTCATTCTTTATTTTGATACAGGACTGGGGGTTTCCAGTTTTTTTTTTTACATTAACTGTCTAATTTCTCGCATGCTGAATGGCTCATTTTTATCATCTGTAAGAGTACAGACGGATAAAATTTTAGTTTACGCAAGTTTTCAAGTTCAACTTTCAACTGTCAAACTGTCAAACTGTCAACTTTTTAACTAATGAGATTTCATGGACTTTTAGGTAGCTAATCAAAAAGCGAGAAAAGCTATCAACAATGTTCACGTCACTTTGAATAAAATTCACTTATCTTTAGTTTACAGTGTCTTTTGCCCTCATTTATTACCTGCATTTGACCATTCTGGGGTCTTGTTGTAAAAAACAAATTGACATCAGTTTTTTATGCGTCTGTCCTCTTATTGATGATAAATTGCATCATAACATTGTCAAAGTTTATTGCGGAACCACTCGCCTGCAGCTCGTGGTCCCACAGCCACTTTGACAATGTTATGACGCTATTTATCATCAATAAGAGGACAGACGCATAAAAAACTGACATCAATTTTTTAAATGGTTAATAATACTAAGTAACATAATCAACAAATGCAGATGTGTTTTTTTGTACCCAAATTTTACTTTTGTAGAAACAACACAACCATGATTTATGTTTCAGAGGGTGTTGTTTGGCAACCAGGTAAATTGCCAACCTTTGAATAAGATATTCATGCATGAGTAGTGAACAGCAAATAGTAGCAATTAGTATCAACCACACAAGTAGTTATGGTGGTGGTGATTATTATTATTATTATTATTATTATTATTATTATTATTATTATTATTATTGTTATTAAAAAGCAAAGACAAGATTAAAACCCTAAACCCTAGCAGTGATGAAATTTTATTTTGTGTTGTCCTTTTATTTTTAGTACCTTGTACCAGAGTTGTCCAAAAACAGTGTGTGGAAACAGTTTTGGGATCGTTTTCGAACTGATGATGAAGGTATTGTTCACATGTTGTAAACATATATTTATTATACTCCATGACTATAGGAGGTTTGTCTCTCAATTTGTTTAAATGCCATCCAGCTTCATGTGGGATATTTCTTTAAAAATAAAGGCTTGGTTTTTTTGGAGGTAAATAAAATGAAAAATGATATTCATAAAATAATTTGCATGTCATTCAGTGACAGTATTGTTTTGTGCAATATGAATAATCCTTAGAGGTCTCCTATTTTCATGGCACTTATAGAGACCTTAGAGATTAACACTCTCTAATAGACCATTTCTGTGTTACACTGTACATGTACCTTGTGCCTCCGTGGCAAAACAAGTCTTCGTGCAAAAGCATTCATATGAAAATGTGTTCCACCTACAGGTTCAATTCCATGCAAATCAAACTCACTTTCATATCATTGAAAGGTTTTACATGAAGACTCGCTGGATCATGTGTACTAAGGACATCTGCAGTTGAGTATCAATCAATACTCTTGATCGATACCCTTGATTGACATCTCAATCGACATCAGGATTGATACTGGGTGGACACACTGTTGACACTTGATCAACAGACAGTCGATAGTCGGCTGAGTGTTGACTGACTCATATGAATCAATTGAAAATTAGTCGACTGTCGACCAAGATGTCAATGGAATGTTGATCGAGTGTCAACCGAGGTGTTGATAAAGTATTGATCGAGGGTATCGATGGACACTTGACTGCGGATGCCTTTACTACACATGATCCAACTTGTTTTGAAACAGAAGCACAAGGTGGCCTATTTAATGTAAAATTCACTGAACATCATGACATAAGTTCTGCAGACTTCAATGTGTATTTCTTTTCCATTGCAGTTGATTTTGTCAGTGCTCCATTTTGTGTTTCAAAGTCGCACATTTATGAAGGAATAGAGAATCCTGACACGTTCTTTAGGCCTGCTCTTAGATCATTGTTGGTAAGTAATGATCGTATGTCAGGCCAGGAAAAAACTCAGGTCTGATTGTCCACAGCAAGTAAATTTTGCTCTTGGGCAAGTGAAAATGGAAGTTTGGTGGTCCAGTGGGCAAGTGATTAATTAGTCTCAGTAGTCTGGTCAGTGGTAACAATTTCAAAACTGAAGACTGCAAGATGAGCAAAACAAGGAGTTGAGAGTATGGATTAATTTAAAATCCCAGCATACTTGATTCTAGACAGTACAGAGTACCTAGTAAATGATGTAGTTGATAAGGCATGAACCTTGCATGTCTATTGGGCAAGTGAAAGTTTAGTGACGGCCACTGGAAACTGAAATGTACTTGTCTGGCCCACTGGGCAACTGGATTTCAAACATTTTTTCCTGTCCTGAATGTCACTGTATAAATATGGCTAGTTTGTCAATAAATGCTTAGTCAGGTCTTAAAACTAAAATCACTGATTACAAATAATTGAGAGTTTCTTTTTAGCATTAGTCCTTTGTCGTAGCAAAGAGTTGAAGGGCTAGGAAAGGTAACATGAGCTTTACAAATTAACTTTCCTATCGGTGTATGACTTCAAGTTGATAAATACTGTAGCTAGTAAGTGTTTCAATAATTCAAAGCCAACCCTGATAATCTGTGATTCAATGGTCCAAGAACATTTTGTGTGTAGATGTAAAAGTTTTAACTTTCAATTTTATCCATTTAAGGTTCACCACATTTTAACAGGTCTAGATATCAGAGACAAGGAAAGCAAGCAGCTTGGTCAAAATGCACAAGGTATTACTGTGTATATATAGTTTGAAAAATTGTGTCCTTGTGTTTCTAAACTCCTACTTGTGTGCTACATGTCAGATTTATATCATGGTACATTGTATCTTGACTTGTTACCCATACACATATATGTCAAATAATATCAAATGTCTTTGATATTATGTGTGCATGTCTTTGCAACTACATGTGAGTTGATTTTGCTTTTAAAATGTAAGCCGTACCTGTGTAAAAAGACTGGATCATGTTCATCCACGCATACAGTCAACAGCCAAGTGTTGATCATCGATACCCTCCATTGATACCCTCAAATGACACTCAATTGATACTTGATCTACACTCCATTGACACCTTGGTTGAAACTCCGTCGACATCTCGGTCGACACAGTCAACTACTTTTCGATCATTGCTTATGAGTCGGCTAACTATTGAGCGACTGTTGGTTAAATGTCTACCGAGTGTCGATTGAGTATTGATCGGGATGTCTATCATACACCACTCAAGATGTTGATCAAGGGTATCGATTGAGGGTATCGATCAACACTTGACCGTGGATACCTTTAGTACACATGATCCAAAACACCTGTATTTTTTATTTACCATGTATGCATATAAAGCAGTTGTAAGTACATGTATTCTGACATACTACTGTAACTTTGATTACTTTGTAGGTTTGGGGTACATGCTTATTGAGGGAGCCTACACTGATGCATTTATCCTTCATGAGAAATCTGAGTACGACTCTCAGTTTCCATTGTCTGACACCGGCGATGATGACAGCTTCCTCCATGGCCAGGATATTGCTGATCCTCGCAAGGCCTTGAAC